ATTTACAACACCATAAAAGATATAAAATACTTCACAAATTGCACAAAATAAACTTAAGGCCTTCACACCAAACATCACACAACATTTAGAGGTACTGAAGATGACCAGGTAAATGGTAAAGACATATTGACTGAAAGACTCAAACCAGTTAAGACACTGATTTTTCCCACAAATTGATTTAAAGTAAGATATTCTCAATGGAGATTCCAGTGATCTCTTTTGAAAAACTGATAAACTAATTCTAAGATTTATATAGAAATATGAAGGATGTAGCCTACCAAAACAGTTATGAAAAAAAATAGCTGGAGGAGTCAACCTATCTTGGTTTGAAGACTAACTGTGAACCTACCATCATCAAGACCACATGATACTGCATAGATCAGTGGAACAGAATGTCTGCGCATACATACACATACACACACACACAATCAATATATTCATTATATAAGCTTCACATATATAAAATCTGACAAAGTAGTAGTAGTCCAAATATATAAAGAACTGTCCCTACCACTCAACAGTGAAAACACTATCCAAATTTTAAAAGGATCATTTGAATGGTCTGTTACATCTAATATTCTTTCATTTAAAATACAAACAGACAACGAGATTTTCAGTATTACCAGACGTCATTACTAGATATCCCAGATAATGCTACATATTTATTAGACTGACTAGACATAAAAGAACTGACAAACCAAGTGGAAAACCACAATTCTCAGGGATTGCTGACTGGAATTTAAAATAGTATCCAAACTGTGAAAAACTACTTTCCTGTTTTTTACAAGGTAAGTAAAAATCTACCAATTCCTCTCCTTTTACTTAGAACTGAAAATGGACATCCACACAAAAAAATTTGCAAACCACTGTTTGTGATATATAGTCTTATTCTTGATAGTACCAAACTATAAACACCACAAACATCCACCAATAATAAGTGAATACACAAATTCTGGTATACTTGTACAATGAAAATGCTAGCAGAGAAGAGACAAAAGTTTAAACTGGTTAATAACAAATATCAACACCACATACTTACTAATATGCTCTGAAAAAGGTTCATTATGTCTGATACTCTTTGCAAATACTTCAGTGTATTCAGGAGAAAACATCAGACATACCAAATCATGAAACATGTCACAAAAGTACCTATCAATATGCTTTAAAGTGTCAAGGCAATAAAAGACATGGAACAATTTAGGAACTCTCACTGACTAGAGAAGATTAAAATATGTATCTGAACTCACACTGCATGGGATTCTTAATTGATTCTGGAATGAGAACACTAGTGTAAAATCTGATAAAAACAGAATCACCTATAGTCAATTAATAGTACTCTACTAATGTTAATTCCTTGGTTTTTATAACTGTAGAATGATCAAGAAAAATGCTACCACGAGAAGAGAGGAAAAGAGAACTCATTTTTGCAGTTTTAATAGGTCTAAAATTATTTCAAATTTTATAAGTTTTTTTAATGTTAGAGATAAAAATAAAAAATGAACGGCTTAACTGACAGGCAAAACATGAATAAATCACAAAAGCATTATGCTGAGCAAAAGAAGCCAGACTCAGAACAGTACACACTATATGATTCCATCTATATGCAATTATGGAAAAGGTAAAATTAATTACAATGACAAAAAGTCATAGGGAAAAGAGTTGGGAGGCAGTGAGAGAACACTGTGGATTGACATGGTATTCTGTATCATGATTGTGGTGGTAGTTACATAGGTTTACATTTGTAAAACTCAGTCCGTCCATATAAAATGCATGCATTTCATTTATGTCACTTATTCCTCAATAAAATTCATTAAATTTTTGAAAATGCTCATATTCAGAAATACTTCACTTGAATAATTAGTATTATGCCTCATGCCAAGTAAGCTGAAGTACCATAATTAATTCATAAACTAATTTACTAAAACTGCATCCAAATCATTAGTCAACAAATATTTACTGATATCAACTGTATGCCAGGCTTCATGCTAAACAAAGGCTATAATGAGAACTGGCCCTTGCCATTGAGCAACTCAAAGGTTACCGAAAGACAAGCAAGTAAACAAAAGCTGCAACTGACATAAACTATTCAGAGTGGACATGTCAGGGTGTCAGAACTGCACAGAGGGCACTTCATAAAGAATGCTGACGTTTTCTAAGAACTTAGCCATGAGGCAACTGAACCTATTACAAAGATATTTATCCCAAATCTTCAAGTTTAAAACAAACCAACACACCACACTTCTTTTAGGCTTGTCTCTGTATTTCATGGCACATGAAAATATTATTCCAATGGTATTGTTTCTCCGTTTTTTAAAACAATGAGAAATTATTTACAGCTATATTTTATGACTACCATTCTGGAAAATGGGCGAGAATATAAAGTCAATAAACTTATTTTCCTATGTACTCTGTGAAGATAATGTCTTAACAATGTCTTGCACAAACACAATAATGTTTGAATAAACCTATAACCTCTTCAAGGGCCTACTCTAAAGGGCTCTGCTTCTTTTTAAGTGGTGAAGTCCAAGTTTGCTTAAAGAGCTTATTACTGTGAAGTTGTGTCTTATAAACTATTATTCTAAATGATAATGTAGACTATATATACCAATATACACGCATATGCTTAGGTTTTAACTTTGCACTGCTGAATGTTCTTGGACAAGTTGCTTAACATCTCGGAGTCACATATAAAACAGGAAACAGTAGAATCTACCTCAGAAGGTTTCTGTATATAATAAACAAGGTAGCAGCTGTGAATGAAATACCTAAATGAGATAATCCATGTGAAGTACTCAGAACAGGGCCTGACATATAATAATGCACCTAATAAATGTTAATAATTACTAAACATAAAGGATATCTACATTTAGGAGAAAGCAATAGAAGTGACCATGATAAAAAGAAAAAGAAAACATCCTAAGACACTGGTAGTTTGGAGACTAAGATTCATGAATTTTCCATTAGGCAGGTTTCTTTCTGTTTCATCTTGTGGTCCTGGGGATTGAATTCAGAACCTTCACCACTACAAACTCACAATCAGCTAGCTCCCTTCCCCTTACTTTGGCCCAGGCTGAACTTGAACATGCAATCATCCTGCTTCAGCCTCCCAGAGTGCTGGGATTACAGTGTATCCCACCATGCCTGTAACAAGAGATTTTAAAATTCATTTTCCTCTGAAAATATAGAATTGTCTTAATGCTCAGAAACAATATTCCAGACACACTGTAGACTGTTACCAAATCAGTATAAAGGGATTGCTTTAATAACTAACTTAATAACTTTTACTTGTTTGGGATATTTTTTTTATTTGTCAAAAAATGTTGCTATTTCTTTCTCTAGAAGGGTATAATTCTTTGTTTTTATGGGTTTTTTGTTTTTCCCAGGGAGACATACTGGGAATTGAATCTAAGTACTCATCCAGACAAGGCAAATGCTCTAGCACTGAGCTACAACCTAGCTAGAATTGTGGATTGCAAGATTTTCTTCCCATTTGAAAAGAAAGCCTTACATTGAGAAAGTCTAATACTTTCAACTTACTTATTTCTGACAAGTGCTCCTAAAAGTGTATATGTCCCATTAGTAAATTGTAAATGTTAAAAGAGCTGTAAGGCAATAATAATAAAAAAAAAAACCAAGTACATGACGGATCATGGAGGGAAAAGAAAAACTCAAATCTAGGGCTATATATGTATTTTTAATAAATTATTTGCTTGATGTAGAAACAAAATCATGGTATATGCCTATGTGGCAAGTATCTTCATGTGTTTATTTTTGTATATTTACAGTATATATATTTGTAGCCTAAATTGAACATCAAATTGAAATTTATGCAATTTGAAATGGGGTTTGTTTTCTAACACTATTATTGAAATGGTTACCTTGTACTTAGGAACAAAAATTTTTTCTTCTTTTGAGGCAGGGACTTGCTATATTGCTCAAGTAGTCTCAAATTTCTTGGCTCAAGCAAGCCCTCTGCCTCTCAGTCTTCCAAGTGCTGGGGCTACTGGCATGAGCTACTGTGCTGGCTTAAAATAAAAAATAAACAAATCAATCTATCTATCTATACAGCTATCTGTCCAACAAGAGTCTAAGTTGCCCAGACTAGCTGGGAACTTAGAATCCTCCTGCCTTAGCCTCTCAGGTAGCTAGGATTACTGGCATGCACCAACATACCTGGTAAACCAGAAAATTTTAAAGTGGTGTGGTGGTGCCTGTCTATAACCTCTGCCCTTGTGAAGCTGAGGCAGGAGGCAAGGGGATTCCCATGAGCTGGAGGCCAGCCTGGACTACACAATAACTTCAAGGTCAGCCTGAAGTACACAGAGAGACCCTGGCTCCAAAACAACAACAATAACAAACAAACAACAACAAACAACAACAAAAAAGAATTTCTGAAATATTTTTTTCAGAGTATTACAAATGCATTTATGTGCATGTGAACACATGTATCCATATGGTTAACTGCCCTCTTATCCCTATGACTTCTTAAATAGTATCTTCACCATAGTGCAAATATTTTTCTTAATTAGTTCTGACAAGATGTTGTAACCAATGACCAACATATTGTTTCAAATATACAGTACAAGGCACTGGGTCTGATCTCTTAACACACACACACACACACACACTCACACACACATAAAGTTAACATGTTAAAACTTTTAATTTACAAGGGCTTAGTTATGGCAGAGATAAAAAAATTTTTACGTCTAAAGAACAGCTTAATGGAGGAAAAACCAAAAATGTCAAACTACATTAATGATTTTACAGAATAGTTTCTTAGATCTCTAAAATAAATTTAGGACTTGTTCTACTTATCTCTAGGCACATAAACCAAGTCTCAAGCATATCAGATGACTACAATACTCCAAACTGCAATGAAAATGGCTCAGTAACAGCCCCACCAGCCAACTGCATGTAAACACTGACCTGCCTCCCGTGGACCCACTATGTCATAACAAACATAGAAGTTCACAAAGCAATCAGAAATTGCTACTCACCAGCAAGTGTATAATCCATATCAAAACCAAAACACTTTATTTTTTCCATGGCTAAACTTCGATTCACAAATACCCTATGGAAAAAGAGTAAAAATGGTATCATAATTAACATTACCAAAACAGTCTGAAGTTTAATGAAATTATTTGGCTATTCTAGATCTTATTTATTTTTCCAACTCACTTTTTTATATATTTAAGGGATGTAACATGAGTTTTGATATACTTACCTTGACATACATATACATATACATAGTGTTTAACAGTCAACATACCATATATAACTTTTCTTATTTCTTTCGTTTTCTTCCTTCCTCCTTTTGTAGTTAAGCACCTAAAATCTACCTGCTGGGCACATTATTACCTGTAATATTCATGGTGAACTTTACGTCTCTTAAACACATTCATCCTGCATCATTCTATGGTACCCTTTGATTTACATCCTCCCATTCCTTCCCACACACACTGTCTTACGCTATGTTTAGCATCTGTTTTGTTTGTAACTCCACATTGTCATACTATTCTATGTCTAGCTCACTGCACTCAGCATAATGTTCTCTAGGCTCATGCATGCTGCAAACAGTGGACTCTTCTTTTTTAAGGCTGAATAATACTCCTGTGTGTGAGAGAGAAAGAGAAGAGAGAAAAAAGAAAATTTCTTGACCCATTAATCCACAGAAAGACCCTTTAGTTATTTGCATACCTTAAGTACTGTGATTAACACTACAACGAACATGGGACAGCAGGTATTTTGATGAGGTGGTAGCTTCATTTCCTTTGGGTACACAACCAGAGGAGGGACTGCTGGTTTATATTTTTAATTTCCTCAGGAACCCTGACACTGTTTTCTATGGTAGCTGCATGAAGAGTGTTCAAGGGTTCCCTTTTCTGCACACCTCTGCCAAGACTTGTTATTCTGTGCTTTGATAAAAACTATTTTAACAAGTTAAAAATGACATCTCAGTGTGGTTTTGATTTCCACTTCCCTGATGACTGGTGATTCTGAGCATCTTTTTTACATAGTTTTTGGTCATTTTGTGTGTCTTCTTGGGAGAAATGTCTATTCAGTTCCTTTGCCCAATTCCCCTCCAAATTCCTCTCTATCCTTGGTATAGGGGAATGCATCCAGGAAGCACTGTGTTTTGGCCCCACCCATTCACATTTAGACAGAATCTTTTTTTTGGAGACAGAATCTTACTGAGAATCCCAGGTTGGCCTCCGCATGTTGAGTAGCTGGAACTAGAGGTCTACACCACTGTACTGTCCAGCCTCTTTTGTTCACTGGTTTATTCTTTTGCTTGCTATTGAGTCCCCTACGTATTCACTATCTTAACGCATTACCGGATAGATAGTTCATAAATACATTCCCTCAAATTCTCTTTTTGTTTAGTTTGTTTTGTTTTTGAGGTGGAGTCTTGCTATGCAGTTCAGGCTGACCTAGGTTCATTTTGTAGCCCCAGGCTTCCTTTGGACTCACCAATGATCCTTCGGCCTCAGCCTCCCCAGTACTGGGATTACAGGTATGTGCCACCACCATCCAGCTTCTTCTCCCAATTTATTTCCTGCTTTTTCATTTTGTTGATTGTTTCCTTTGCTGCCTGCACAGAAGCTTCTCAATTCAGAAGCCTCACTTGTTTATTTCTGCTTCTGTCACCTATACTTTGGTGTCCCGTCCAGAAAAGTGCTATCAACACAAACGCCAAGGACCCTTGCCCAGTTTTCTTATTGATATTCTCATTTAAATACCAATCTTAAGAGTCATAATAAAATTATTCAAATTCTTCTTATGTATAAGTGAAATCTGGTATTACACAGAAATACATGGTACGCACTCAAGATTGCAAGGACTCTTTCTCAAAGTCTGCCCTTCCAGCTCATTATGACTGGGTAATTCACTCACTCATTCATTTATCACATTCACTCATAGTCAGTCTGAAACGCAGAAACAGATTCATTCAAATGGCTGCTGAGTATCTCCTATGTACCAGGCACTGAGTAAGATTACTTACCCTCATGAAACTTAACATTTTAACCATTGTTATCCTTGAGGAATTCAGCCCACCCAGAAAGAGACCTATAAGCAAATAGGTACAACAGCTTTTTTTTTTTTTTTTTTTTTTTTGTCTTTTTCCTTTTTATTGGTACCGGGGATTGAACTCACGACTGCCTGCTTGCAAGGCAGGTGCTTATGCCGCTGAGCTAAATCTCCAGCCCCCGGCATAACAGTTCTATAAGTGCTATAAAATAACAAGGAATGCTGGGCTTGGTAGCGCATGTCCATAATCCATGCAGAAGAGAGGCTGAGGCAGGAGGATTCCTACAGATTCAAGCCCAGGGACAGGTAAAGCCCAAACTACAAAGCAAGATCCTGTCTTAAAAAAAAAAAAAAAGTAGGGCATGTTTGCAGGGGTCAGGAAACATGTTTGAGCTGAATCTTATCAAGTAGTAGCTTTCCAGTAGGACAAAACTTGAAGGACAGAATAAGCAAGCAAGGAAAAAAGCTTATAATGAACTGTGAATCATTCACTGTGGCAGAGGCCAGAATATTTCTTTAGTTTTGTTTTTCTGTTTGCTTTTCCACAAGGTTTGCTAGGGGAACAGGGATAGCGGAACAATAAAAGTTATAATGTTACAAAGGTTAGTGGGCACTTAATACGCCAGGTTAGGGAATGTGGACTTCATCCTACAGAGAAGAACAAATGATCTGATTCTGAATAAACAACAAGGTTCAAATTTCAGAAGTATCACTGTGAAGACAGAGGAAGCTGAACGTATCATAACATAGTATCTGTCACTGGGACTGTCATTTGGGATTAGTTTTAATTATCTTTGAAAATGAAGATATCCTTTCCATCTGATACTGAGCCTCATAGCCAAAATTGAAACTGGATGATCATATTACCGGAGCTTTTTGCCCCTTCATTTTAATGAGAATAATGTACAGCAGCAGATCTCAAACTTCTGTGTGTACCCAAATCATAGTTGCTTAGGGAATGTGTTAAAATAAAACATTGCTTCAGAATTTCGGGAAGAGGGCAGAGCAATAAGCAGCAGGGAAAACAGCTGCTCTGAGAGTTACCATCCAGATGCTGGATCATAGCATTGTGAGGAAGACAAGAAGGAAGGCAGTGGGTCCCCTGGACCCAGGAAGAAGCTCAAATGCAAACTGAAGTCACGGTGATGGCAATGGGGATGGCGATGGCAATGGTTATGGTTGGCAAGCCCCGGGGCCTCTACAAAGAGATGCAGCAGTGGAGGGGAGCAGTAGACCTGGAGGACTACACTGGCTGGCGGTGAGTGCACAGGACTTAAGTCTGCCTGGGGTTGGGGTGGGAGTAGCAAATGGCTAGAAGCCACTTTGGAGTTGGGCCAGATAATTAAGCCCAGAACCCAGAGCTGCTGCCACTTCCTCTAGCAGCTCCCAGATGGGCACAGACCCATGGAAATTGCTTGACTGCAGCGAGCCCAATGAGTCTGGCCTCAAGACAGGCCTCTGAGGTTATCTACTACACTGCCATAAAGCAGCTGCTGCTTGCTGGGACAGAGCTGCATGATTCGGGGATCTGTCTCCATAGGCTGTCTGCTAGTGGACCCAGAGAGAATCCTGGAAGTGGACTGTTTGTGGGGGGTTTTTTCAGTTTTTTTTTCTTTTTTTCTCTTTCTCCTTCATTTTTCTGAGTGTAAAAGTGGATCCTAACCTCTTTGTGGGTGTGGGTCTGTTCTGTTCTTCTACTTATCTCCTTCAGTCTTCTGCACCAATTTCCCCAAAGTTGGTGTGATCCTTTGTCCTCAAACCTTATTTGTAATCTCTTTCTTTTCCTTCCATTTCTCTATTTTCTCTTTAATCCATTAAAAATTTTAACCCTGAGGGCAAAATTGACACATTATGGATTCCTATATTGCATAAAATTATCTAGTTTGTTTTACATTTTGTTATATAATCACACATCTAGTTCTGCATAAAATTATCTAGTTTGTTTTACATTTTGTTATATAATCACACATCTAGTTCATACAGTTAAAAGTTGCAAATTAAGGGTTAGCTCAGTTTGTTGTTTTCTAGGCTATGTTTGATGCTATTGGTACCACTACAGCCAAAATTGACATAACTGTTCTAAACAGCTGTTGGTTCTGATAATTCATGGACTGATATTAACTCAGGGTCACTGTGGCATGGTGCCAAAGAACCACAGCCTAGGTCAAACAAGCAACAAATTCACATGTCCAACAAACTGAAGAGGGAAGATCTTCCAACAGACTCAAAATCCAAAAACCAGCTACACTTGCAAGATACCTCAGAGAAGTAAGTAATCATCACCTATGGGTCCTAAATACTACCAATAAAGCAATACCATAGCTAGCATCAAACCAGGAATTAAACTAAAAAAAGAAAAGAAATGAGAAGACACTTAAACAAGATGCAAACCCAGACACCCAGTTCACCATAGGCGAACCCAGGGGGCAATGAGGTGAGACAATCTGAAAGCCCTCCACCAGGTCTCTCTGAAGTGGTTTGAAACAACAAAGTAATTTAATGAGGCTATGGAAAAAATGAAAAGAGAAATAATCTCTCAGACAACTACAGAGATAACCAAAATATACAACATACTCAGTGATGTTAGAGCACACACGCAAAAAACAGACAAATTACAGAAGCACAGCATAGGAAAGAAAAGGAGTCCATAAAGCAGACTCAAGCAGATATCCAGGAGAATAAAAACTCCATTAAAAATATTTGAAGCAGATTAGGCCAGCATGAGAACAGGATCTCAGATATTGACAACAGACTTGCAGTTAGTGACCAGGAAAAGAAAGATTTCTCAAAACTGGCAAGGGACCATGAGAAATCAATCCAGCAGCTGCTGGATAAGACAAATAAGAGTAACTGAAGATTAGTTGGAATCAATGAACAAGCAAGAGCCACAAATGACACTAAAAAATGTTCACAGATATCATGGCAGAAAACTTTCCTGGTAGAAAAAAAGAATTTGACATTCAGATAAATGAGGCACACAGACCCTGACAGATTCACTGCTGAGTTCTACATGAAATTTAGAAAAGACCTAATACCGACTTC